GACAAACACTTGTATTACTCTATTATTAGCTTTGGTACTTAGTTCTCCTGCCCCTGGAAAACATTTACATCTTCCTTGTTTCTTGCTGCAGGTAATCTAGACCTTGAAGAGGCAGAAGGTTTATTTCCATTTTTAGGATAAAGTCAAACACGCTACAAGCTGTGCTCTGTTGTTGGTTTTCATCAGCAGTTACATCTTCAATAAGATTTGCAGCTTCCAGCTCCCCTGGATAATGTACAAAATCCCAATTGTTAGCAGCAGAGGAAGTCAATTCTGTTTTGGGGGATTTGTGGAAGTGGTGGGAACCATGGGGAGGAAACAAGCTTCTTCTTTTCAGGATAAGATGATTAACTTAACACCCTTTTCAGATGCGTAGAAGTAGAAACAGATTGGAAATGTAGGGGTTTTAAAGTTTCTCCTAAATGTTTATTTTGTTAGCATAGACTCCTGTGAATAGGTTCAGAAAAAACCTTACTCCCCACATTGATCAAAGCCTGCTGAATGGCAAGATTAACAAATTGCACTTCTCTGCCCATTTTCCTTATGGGATCCTTGACCACTCAACACCAGTTCAGGGACAGCATGAAGGTACAGCTTTACTGTCTCTGGCCTCACCAGGAAGACTCACCAGATGGAAGACTGTATTGAGTTCTCCAACCTAAAAGCATCAACCTCTCATCTGAACACCACAGCTGTTAAAAGGCCACTCAACATTAGCAAGTTTAAAGAAAGACTTACTGAGGTAAGCACATATTTCAAAACAATATTTCTAAGATTCCAGCCACCAAAGTGTACATCTGAAACACAAAAGACTAGCCTTGTCTGAAAACTCATGAGCATAACGTAAGGGCTCCAGTATGCATGTACTTCCAGAAGCAACACTAATGAACAGTGATACATCTACTGAATGCTTTGGAACCCTTTTAGGTGGGCAACCCACTTACAGGATCTTTAAAGTTCCTCACAAATGAAGTATCAAAATAAATATTATTCAGCCCAAATCATCCCCAGTCTAAACTACAGATACACATTTTATAAACATAATTGCACTCTATACCAAATAATTTCAAAGTCTCAACCTAAACTCCAGTTGTTCATATGGAAGGATTTCAGAGAAGCTCTCAGGCAGGCAGATACATCTCCAGGGGATGCGTCAACAGTGCACAGCAGAGCTACCAGCACAGGTCTGAAGTAACTGTAAATCAAAGGCAACCTTTTGCAAGTAGCATCCCATTTGCTTTTTTTAATTTTTATTTATTTATTTATTTATTTATTTTTAAATATCCAGTGGCTTATATTTCTACATTGTTCATAAACACAAGTAGCCTCCAGACGAGTACATCTCCCCCTTCCCTTTGTTTAGGCTGCCTTTTTTCCAGTAGTCTGCAGGGTTTCATTTCAGTTTTGAATAGTTTCAATATTTCAATTTTTATTAAAACACCACAAGATTGACATACTTCAGTGAGTCTGACTGCAACTGGAGCAGTATTAAATGGAGACACAAGCTCACCAGATAGCCAGCCAGCCAGCTACGAAAATCTCTCAAGTATTGCCTCCCTCACATAAATAACAGTTTACAAATGGTGGCTATCAAGTCAGGCATTACAAACCCTTCCAGCCATGTTTTTGCTGTATCTACAGCATGCCCACATGCCCTGCCTCTTTTTTGGGTTGAACTACGAGCTGTCTACACCTTCATTTCTTCTGGACGCCAAAAATACGAAAGCAATAGGAGCAGCTAGAGAACATGCACATGGGACAACTTGTCTTGAAAAGCTTCAGTTGTTGGTAACTTCTCTTCTCTGAATGCTTGCCCAATTTTACACTGACACTGGGGGTGAGCACAAGCAGTAACCCATCTGGATCTTCTACTTTCACAACTTACCTGGAATGGGCTTCGATATCCTCAAGCCAGGGGAACTGCAGTACTACTCTAGCATAGACAGCACTGCTCCAGGATGCCTCTGCAGTTGTAAAACAGTTGATAAAGATCACTCTACAAATGGTAGGAAACAGTTTGGCAAGGCAACCCATGCAACTTGTGCTGGGCTGAAAGGTAGCTCGTTCCCTACTGGGGCCACAGTAGCAAGTAGGAGAACAGACTCTTGTGATTTATCTAATTAAATAGTTTCTAAAAATCTGCAAACATGTAAAAATACTGCCAAGACCAATCTGAACAGCTTCGTCTCTGGTATGTTAAAAGGATCTGGCCTACTTGATACTTAATTCCATGAGAACATGATGTCTCACCTAGGTGTGCTATGAGATGGATGAACAACAGTCATAAATATATGTCTGTCATAATATATAATGTATAATATATGTCTGTAAATATACCTGCTTGTTTACCAAGCAGGTATATTTACAGACAGGTCCATTTTAGATGCAGCTTACTGTTAGATACACCAGCTTCCAGGTCCCTCTGCCCTCACCACACAGGAGATGTGTTTTTCGGTGACGTGCGCTGTGACGTGAGTGCGGCTGCCCTCTGTGTACTGTGGAAGAAAATCTGGAAACACTCCAGATGAGCTGGAATTACTTTCACTACAGGAAGGGTGTGCTTCCTTGGGGGACCAGGTAGTCCATATACTTTTGTCTGGTATCCCAGCAAACCTAGGCTCAAAGTTGGAAGGTATACATCAGAGTAACCAGCATCAAGCCTCAACCACTGAAGGAACACAGGGGCCTGTACTGATGACTCAAGCACACTGTGCCTTGCCTGTACAACACTGGGGGTTTACCCTGTCAACCATACTTAAGGATGCAGCTAAAATGCAGTTCAGACCAAGCCATGTTTAACACAATATATATGCAGCTCTCTTGGGTGGGGACAAAACAGTACTAAAACTAGAGAATAAAAAACCCCATCAGTCCAGGCAAAAATCTAGAATGGAACACTGGTTTGTGACATATTTTTCCACCTCTTAACTTATACTTTTTTTAAAAAAAAAAAAATTAAAAAAAAAATCCATCACTTCTCACAATCCCACTATTTCTTTTTTTTCCTGAAATATAGTTCAAGATTTCCATGAATACAAAAGTGAAAGTCACTGAGCAAGAGCATACCCACCACTGTACCAAACTCACCTACTTTTTGACTACTTCCAACTTCCATGAATATACCATCTAAGTGTAGACATGTCCTGTCAGGCCAGAAGCATTAGATAATTGAGGAGACAACTAGCCATCTACAAGTTCGACAACATTAAAAGATGTGAACCTTAATATTCTAACTTTAGTCCTTTAGAGCTTCATAAAAAGTTAAAAAAAATTTTTACTTCTATTATTATTTTGACTGAACCCAGTAACTTAAGGACAGTATTTCTTCTGTTAAATGTAATGCTGCAAGTACTGTAAGTCTCTAACAGTTTAGAAAAGTGCAGCAGCAAACATCACAAGATCAAGGATTCAATAGCTGAAGGAATACAAAAAGCATTAACAAAAAACGTTTCTTCAACCAACTCAGAAGAATGACTTCCAGAGAAATAGCCTGGAGAACATGAAGATGACTAGATGGATAAAGTTTGAGGGCTTTAGGCTCAAGGAAAATTTGACAGATTGGGAAGGATTTAAATTCAGGCAATCAAGAAAACCTACAGAACTACAGATTTTCTTGTTATTATGTCTGCTCTGACACCGAAGTTGCAAAAATTTGGTTGCAGACAGGTTGTTAAGATGGCATGGGGACTTTCCTACTGCAGTGGAACATTATATCTAATCTGGCAGTGACCAAGTGCTCAACTCTTACTCTGTGTGTAAAGTCTGTCGTGGAAGAACTGCCCTGTCACAGACACTTCAAACATATCGTAGAAACCCAGCCTTGCAAAGCTATTTCAAATGTGCTTTTTGAAGAAAAGATGGCCAATTATTTTTCCCTAACACACACTTACTTAAATCTGAAAGTACTAATACGTATTAATAAAATCCAAGGAAAAAAGCTTTAACTTTTGTAGTTAGCATATAATCTGCCATTTGGCGCTCAATTTTCAGAAACCAAGTGTTAATCCATGGTGAGATCCAGCCTCAGATTTTCATTTCTCTTACTTCTATTTGTATGTGACATATTTATGTATAACATTGTGATTGTTACAATATTGATGCTTTGAATGTCCAAAAGGAAAGCAGCTCTTGAAAATACATGTAAGAAAGGGTCTCTTCTTTGCAAAGGAACTGAATGAACTCTCCTTCACAGGAAGCATTGCTGTACAAGCAAAGTCATCTTCTGTATAAGCAGGAAGGAAGCAGGATATAACATTTAGTTTCAAATTAATAACTAATATTATTTAGATTTTTTGAAAAAAGGAAGGAACATAGCTGTTGAGTTAGACCCGAAGTTTAACCGCTGTTTTTCAACTGAGTTAGAAAAAAATTTAAAAGATGGTATCTTCATAAAGAGTTTATTCTACAACCATCTTTGAATCACTAAAACTGTTATTCCAAAGGGAATCAGAGGTTTTAAAAAATACCACTAATGCCATTTTCCTTCAACTTTAATTAATTTTTTTTTTTATTTTTCTAAGTCAAATGAGTCAATATATTGGTATTCCTAAATCATCCATCTTGCATCTTGATGAATTATTCTACCAGCATTGTTCCGAGTCAAAACTGCAAAGTCTCTTTGGAAAACTAATTTCGTATTTATAGGTTTCATTTTTTTTTATTCCATCCTATTTCCCTGAATTTTTTCTTGACAGTTGCTGATGTAAAATTTAATATAAAATATTTAGTCACAAAATAGTATTGCTTTTATGCACATTGTGGTAAGATTGTTGGTTGTTTTTTTTTCCCCAGTAAAAACTATACTATCTTCCATAAAATCCTGAACATCTTAACTGTGATGCAGAACAAAATTACACAGGGTGAAACAGGTACCAGCACAACAGTGAGATTATATTACATCAAAAAATTTTAATGGTCCCAAATATATACTCAACAACTAAGCATACACTCAGGGGGGGCAAAAAAAAAAAAAAATTATGACACAGAAGTGACCACATCTAGAATTCCACTCAATCTTTAATCAAGAAGGGACAAACAAATCCCCCACCTCAAAAAAAAAACTCTGCAGTTTAAAGGGCAAAGGGAACAGATTAAAAAAAAAAAAAAGAGGAAACTTTATATTCGGCCCTCCCCCACTGAGGTTTTTAAAACCTGTTGTAGCTTGTCTAAAATGTTCAGAATGTACGATTTCAAAGGCAGGTCTCTTTTTATATAAAGAAACTGCTGGCATTCTTAACTGGTGAAGAATTATGGCAAAACCCGCCTTTTCTTCAGAAGTCACATACGTGGTCCAAGAAAGCATATTCTGATTGTAGCAACTGACCAGCCAATCCAGAGTTCCACAAACAAAACTCCTGCCCTGTTGGCTTTTTTTTGTTTTGTTTTGTTTTCCATTTCCTTCCCTGAGAAAAGGGCAACGTGTGGTCCAAGCTGGAGAGCTCAAAGGCGTAAGTCTTTCCCCTAAACGAAATATTTCCCCTTCTTCTGCTCCTTTGAATTGGCACTTGATTGGCAGAAATCTGTTTGTATAAGTTGATCTGTGTCTCACACAGTAATTCACAAAAGATTGCTGCTTTGCTGTGGGTTTGTTTTGTTTTTGGAAAAAATATCCTTCCCCCAACCGGTAATGTTCTTCAGCAGTTGCCATTATGATGACTCAAGCTTTGCTTTCTTTGACAAAGGTAAAGTTTCCTCTTTATCATCATCTTCGTCATCCTCTTCATCATCATCAGGATAATCTACAAGCCCAACGAGGCCCCCCTACGAAGACAGACACGATTACTACAATAAAGAACAGGTCCGCACATCGATACTTCGCGTTTCTACTGGCAAATGACGTTTGCACAGCATACTGCCGTAAATGTACTGACTCATCAAATTTTGAATAAAATGAAGCAGAATAACAATTAAAAAAACCCCTCCACTATGAATGAAAATTGTATTGTCTGACAAATGTTTAAATGATGAACTCCTAAATGGGGTTTTACCTACCCAACTGGATAGAAATATTTCCAATTGAAGTTTAAGAAAATAAGAAAATCTGCTTAGTTTTGCAAAGTGTCTCAAGCAGCCCTATCCGTAAACATGTAATTTATTTTTTTTAAGCCAGCATAGCTCACCGCAGCAACGAGCAATCTGGAAGCACTTCAGAAACAAATACAGAATATCCTTCAGTTTAAATTTTTGAATTATGATACTTTCAGAACACAGTTTGTATTCGCTAATTGTGTAGTAGCTTAAAGACTTCTTGATATAATCCAGCTGAATAAGGTGTACGGGTTACAAAAGTTAAAGAACTTGGCAGCCGACAGTGAAAGCATATCTAGTAATATTAAAAACTTCCTTGTATTGCAGATGACCACAAATTTTCAGATTAGGCAGCTCTGGACCCATGTGGAAGTGGCATGAACTTCTAAAACTTTAACTACAGTATGTTGCAGTTTCTGAAGTTTAACCAGCATTTGACTACAACAGCAGCTAGTGGTACTTTACTCAAAAATCATATTACTTATTCAGGTGTCTGAAGACAGACAGGCAAAACAGGAAATTTCAGTAAACTGGACACCAAAATACAACTTAAACAACTACACACATTCTGTAGTTACATACTATGCTGCGCATACTACACATAAAGTAACAGGACCAGATAATTAATGAAAGACTCAACTGCAACATTTTCCAGTTTGTGACTGCAGCACATTTGTAAGCAGTGTACATTTTCCTGAAGAAGGTAGTTTCTTCCTGAATCCATGCCTGTTTTTTCAGTGCACCGCATATTCAGTGTAAACTGAACGTTTTTCTTATGCCACTTGAAATTTTGGAGCCGATACTGTATGCGATATGCTCCTTATGTAAAGGCTCCATTCAGATTAAAATACTGTCTGGGTGAGAACAAGCCTCCAGCAGAAATATGGAACAGACTGAACTGAATTCCAGACCAATTCTATCCCTTTTAAAAAGCACCTGACTAACTGCTCTATTTTTTTATAGCTAAAGTAAATTTGGCTTCCTCCACATCCGGTTTTAGAGGAAGTGCCCCTTAGTTCTCCCATCAGCCAAGCTCTTCTCATTCAGGTGTTTTCAACAGAAAGTAATCCACACACAAGCTCTCAAGCCATGCTTGACTATAAGAATGAAAAAATCTAAAACTCCATTTTCCTTTACTAGAAGTTAGGTGAACAAGCAGTATGGTGGCATTAAAAAATAAGGATGAATCACTTATTCCAAGGCTACCTGAGAACTCAGACACATAACTGACCTTTCAGACATGGAAATTCTTGTTATTAACATAAATTTGCATTATCTGAACTGTGCTGTATCAATACTACTTTATCTGTCCCACAGAGCTGAGAAAATACCACTCTAATTTCCCTGACTCAGTTTAAATAAACTTGGGTTTAGCCAAAAATCTGGTAAAATCCAAGTGTCCTAAAATGTATTTAAAAATGCTAGTTTTGGATATGCACTGCAAGTTAACCTGACTCTTTTAAATTAAATAAGCTTTCTTCTTCTGCTTCAGTATGTTCCAATCCAAAACTGTATGTTATTTCAAAAGGTAAAAAAACCTCATGCTAGGATATTAAAAATTGTTTATGTTTTGGCTTACAGGACAGGTACCATGCTTCCATAATACTATTTCTTTCTTTCACATGTGCCACTGAGAAGTTTTCTGAACAATATAAAAATTGTCACAGTAGAAATTCACAATGTCCCACCAGCCCCATTGAGAAGTTGGGCAAAATCTGGCAAAGTTTTCCAAGTATTTCTATATTTCTCCCTGTCAAATATCCCTGTGCAATTTAACAGAAGTGTTGTATTTCACAGTAAAGATCGCTGCAAACAGCAGCTGGTTCTATGCTTCATACTTTAAGATGCTGGACACTAAAAGAGCTTTTTCTTTATATACAAGTCAGAGCTCCTTAAAAATGCTACAGGCCATAAAAAAAAAGAAAACACACAACCCAGACAGTCCATTACTGCTTAACATGTCAGAATGCACACAAACTGGAGAGAGAGATGCTAAAGCATATCCCTAGTCTGTAACAATGAAGTCAACCTATGTCCGTACAAAATTACCTTAGTTGTAATAGCTGCCATCTGAGATGTGCTTTTAGAAACTGATCCTGGAGAGCCAGGGGACCCTGGGGATCCAGGAGACCCTGGGGATCCAGGCAGATTACTTGCAGATGACTGGCTGGTAAGGTTAGATTTTGTACCACTGGAAAAGGAAAGCTTGAAACTTGGGCTCTGACGACCTGAAAGGTTAGTTTTCAAAAGAACTTCCTTTTCTTCACTCTCTTTTACTGAAGAGAAAAAAAAAACACACAAAAAAGCAAAAAGTAAAGCCAGATTATTGAATGAAACATTTAATTACAAATCACTTTATAGTGGGGGAAAAAGATAAATACTTTATGTACAGCTTGGTAAAGTGAGCCATCATTGACTTTCTTCCATACTACTATAGCATCTTCCAGCTGTTGTCATTGGCCAGGAAGGAACACTTTTACTCTACCAGTGGTATCACCTGAATGTTTACATTTTGAATTATAACTCAGCATAAAATACAGGAAAACTTGACTGTCAACTAAGATTGTCATCCAAATGCTTTGAGAAACAAACAACATTGTTTTGTATCATTCCACATTTAAGGACAACAAAACTTGTCTTCAAGGGCTGGTCCACCAACTTAGTGTCACATTTTCAAAATCTAAGAACTTCAAAATAAATACATGAAAATCCTTCGTGGCAGTAGGTCTAAAGAATACAAGTTATGGCTTCTGCGTAAGCCACATGGCATTCTTATCACTTACATTTCTTCCTTTCCATAAATTTACTGATAGGATCCATAATATCTTCATCATTTTTAGTTTTGTCAGAAGGGGGCACCACTGCCTCTCCATCTTCCATATCATCTTCATCAGTATTAAACCACATCTCCTCCTCATCCTCCAGGGTTCTTGCATCCCTTCTGTATCTATGGTTTCTCAAAATGGAACGCATGCTGTAGAACAGTAAGTTTCAAAACTTTTTATTCAAAAAACCAACTCGTATCAATAATAAAAATGCTACTTGGCATTTACAACAACAGCTTACAGATACAAACATTGTAGAACAATAAAAATACCAGAAAATCATTCTGAAATATCAACCTTTCTACTTTAAGTATAAATATAATAAAAAAAAAACTCTTTATAAAGAATCAAATCAAGTACAACTGTGCTTGTAGCACATTCAGACTACTCTATCTGTTCAAAATTCTGTAGCTTACAAACAACATTATTAGAAGTAATTTTAATAAATGTCACTGAAGTGCTGCATTCGGGCTTGGTTTAACAGTCTGCACTGGTAAAGAAAAAGCTGTAAAACAGTTTAGGAACTATAGATCTACTTTTTTTTTCTGAAAATGTAACTAGTCAGTATTTGGGGTCCAATATGTTAAAAAAAAGAAAGAAGAAAAAAAAAAGAAAAAAAAACCCCACACCATCCCATTATCAGTATGACTCCAGTTTGAAATAGATAGATTAAAAAGACAGCCGTCTGTCTCTGCCACATCCACCTGTGAGACCTTTCGGTCACTATCAGTATTTTCTGTTTTTCAGAGCCCTGGATACAAAGTGCTACTTCTCCCTCCCCATTTGATGTATTATTAGTGCTGATGTATCTCAGCTCCACCCTCCTTTTCTGTTTTCCTCACAGAAGCAGTATTATGGCCTTGAAGGATGAGGGTCAGTGATGTACATGCTGAAGAACAGGAAGAGAGGTTCAAAACACTATTTTCATTGCTTGATGTTGGTTCTAACAGTCAATTTCCAACAAAAGCATGAAAACCTTAACAATTTTCTGTAGCACTTCTTCAAAGTTTTAATAGCCACAATGTAAGTCTAAAATTTAATGTTTTTCATAGAGCATCTGTTACTAGAGTCCAGATGTTAATAACACAATCTAGGCTTATTCTATTTAGATAAAAAGTCTTGCATTACCAACCCCAGGAAAAAGAGAGGTTAAAAAACAGGAAATGACAATGTATTACGTAAGAATCCTGAAAGTACTTAAAAAATAAATCTAATTCTGAATAATCTATTTGCCAACACTATCACCTGGATCTATACAACCTGCATCATTTTACATTGCGTTTAAATTCAAGTTCTGCTAATAGTGCAAAACCAATAGCTTATGTGGCACTCTTCTGAATACTTCTGTGGCCCATGTCAAGAAAAATTTGACCTCCTTCCTTACTGAACTACTCTTTGCTAAAACACGTAAAGAGATTCTTACTTTTGCATTTTATTATTTCTTAGTTTTCACTTAAGAAATTACATGGTCTTTGACAGGGCTTGTACAGTAACTATATAAGATGTAGGAAGAAGGTAAAAACTGGGCTGGCTGAGCTACAAACCTCTTAAAGGTGTAATTTTCTGTTAGATAAACTCATGCAACACAGCTATATACAAGTATTTAGCTCAACTTAAGCCAAGAACAGACTATTTATTTCCTATACTGGAAGGGAATTACTGAAGTGGCTGGGTGTTCTTTCCAACATGCGCATTAATGTAAGAGTTGCAGGCTTGAATTTCACAGCTGTTTAAGCGTTAAGCCTAGCTGACACAAGCCAGAGTAATAACATCTCACCTGTGAAACTTTAGTACTCAAAACCACAGATGCTGCACATACTTGTGAAAGTGCTTCAACATCTTAAAACACATCTACAATTATACTCTCATTTTCATTGTACAAGTCTTCAATTTAAATACTGGTTAAAAAATCTTGTAGAAGGAAATAAAAGTCTGAATTTTCACGATGTCTTAGTATGACTAATCAGGATTAATTTTTTTAGTGTGTTTTCAAACTAATTCAAGACAACAGATCAAGAACAGGTCTTGTTAGAAATTCTTAGGAGTAACTCAGCTATTCACACCAACAGTCCATTTTGTTTTAATGAAATTACACACAAAAGTAGTATCATTTGAAAAAATAAACTGAGTAAAAGGTCCTAAACTTATTTCTTATACACCCGAACCTTTTAAGCTTGGGTAACTATGTACTGTGGAAGGGAACTTTTGCTCTGGCAAACTGAAGGAGTGATTCAAGTGCTATACCAGATTGGTTTTTACTCCATCAGCAAATCTAACAGTGACAAGAAAAGCATTCTCTGAAAATTTCTTTGTATACTCTATTTCTCAGTCATTTTGAGAGAGCTTATCTAAATATCTACTCCTACAACTAACTAAAAGAAACGGAAATCTGCCATGAGAATTTTTGAAAGGAAAAATCCACAGAATGGTAATTCACAACTGAACAAACTTTAAAGTCAAACAGAGGGAATCTGTTATTTAGGCAAATGAATTTCAGACACTTCAATAGACTTCCAGCCTGATTACAAGTGCACATAAATTTAGGATATGACAACTTAGCATTACTGGAGATCCAGCAACAAATGTGAGCTGAAAACTGATCAAGAGTTTGAAGCAACACATCTGGAAATCACACTTATAATCAAGTAAATTGAACACTGCCCGAGATGCAAGTGGAAGTCTAAAGTATTTACATTTCCCACTCTCACAGAACAATGCATCAGTGTTTCCAAAACAGAATTAAAGCACTAATACACTAACTAGAGCACTTAGTGCATTTTACCTGTCAAGTTTTGGATTATCTTGTCTTTCCCTTTGTTGCTCAAATCGCAGTTTCAGTCCTTTGAATGTCTGCACGTAATCTACATCTTCCAGTGCCTTCCAGTAATTTTCAATTACATGAGCCGTTAATGATTTTATATCTTCCTGTAGGAACAAACAAACAGACAGCAACTTACTCTCACTCAAATGCTTTCATATAATACAATATAAAAAGTAACTGAGAGATTACGTTTAACATTCCAGAGGAAGTATCATATTAATCAGCTTATGCCAAAATGAGTATTATGCATACAAGCATAGTTACAAATCTAGAGGTTCAGATATTTGCTTAGCAAAACAGGTGTAATAGCAGCAATTTTCTAGCAGCATGTTCTTCAAAACACAAACAGAACCTAAAACCCTGATAGAAAATTTTATCAAAACAAATTCTAAAAGGTCTTTCCCACTGTAACTTAGAAATATTTTTACACTGATAGATTAATGATACCTGTTGTAACCAGCCAATTAAAAAAAATGTTTACAAGATACAGACTAAGCACTCACATTGTTTCTTTCCTCCCTGCAAATAAATCACTTATGTAAAAATAATTATTCAGTGCATTTATTTAGGATGAGAACAAGGAAGATATTTTTCACCAGAAGCGAACATCAGGTTTTTCCCTTGTGGCCACACAGTGCTGGTCAAGGCCGTTTACAAAAGCCTGCCCACTGTCCTGCTATTGCAGGAGAGCGCTGCGGCTGGCCAGAGCCGCTCTGGACAGCTGGGACCAGCACAGGCCTGCGCACCGCAGCAGGGAAACTGCTCCTCTGCACTGCACAGCCCATGGAATGCACTGCAGAACAAACACTTCAACTACCAAGGACAAGCAAAGCAACAGAAATCTTCATCTACTCTTCATTTTCCTTTTTGGTTAAGTGCTCAAAGGTCAACTCTTACAAATGGTAATAGGCCAGTAACAACAAAAGCTTTTTTTTTTCCCCCCAATTTGCTCTCTTTGAAAACAAACCTGGATTTAAGAAAAAAAGACAAAAATTACTGACAGACACCAAAAAGTACTGTGGAAATGCAACCTGGGTATTTATGTGAAAAGGAGGATAAGAAAACAGAAGATGATTTATTTCCCCATAGCATGAACTGTACAATCAGCACCCAATCTCATGGAGTACTGAAACACCACAGCACAGAAGTCAGGCCCACCTATACAGGTGAACTTTTTTCATAGCTTCAAAACCATTTTTAAATCAACTCTTCCATAATGATCAGGTCATCTCAGTCTTGAATTACCTTGAGTCCCAATTCAAAGAGGAAAGATGTCATCAGTACAGAAATTTTTAAGAGGTGACAAAGCCTCCTTTCTTCCTGTCTGCACCCTAGCTTGGCTCCACTTAACCACATCTACAGCCTGTACAGCATATTGTCAGCATCTGGATGCAAATATCAACGAGGAAACACCACTGTGCTAACAGCCAAATTGGCGTGAGTATATTAAGAGAGTCCCCATGGAAGGAACTTTGTAGCAGTGCATTAATATAACCAAAAAAGACTGGTTATATCTCTTCTGTACGTTTCCATATTCTGTTGAACTGACATTACAGAGCACAGCTACATCTGAAGGTTTTGTAGCTGTACTTTCAAATTACACTCCCACCATAACCAGATCATCTGATCTGCATCACAAAACTGTATTAGTTGCTGCCTTTGCAAATCTGGGTACTGTGCATACACTACCATGGGAATTTAACTTTCGAGTTACGGTACCATTTGGACATAAGAAAGAACATGCACAAATATGTAACAGTGATATAAAAGAAAGTTCACCTAAACACAGTATGATATGGTCCCATTACAAACAAAAAGAAAAATCGCCTGGAACTACAAGATTAAGCAATACAGTAATTATCTTCAGCAGGTAACAGCACTCACCACTCTGATAAATTCAAACATCTCTATTATGGCAGAGTTCATCAGGTTATAACGGGAACCATTATTTAGAAATGCTTTGACCACAGGTTCAAACAAAAAACTTTTCATTATGTAACGGTTGTAGAATTCGTCCTTTAGCCCGATTATCTTCCTCTTGAAACGAAGGGCACCTGAAACAGAAGTGTTGTCAAAATAATCTTTAAATTTAAAAGAAAAAAAAAATATTCAGAAATTACTCAGCATTACTTAGGGCAATTTGCAATCTCAGTTCTCATACAGCATTCCACTATTAGAACCAGGTAATACATTCAACTGTTCTCTACTTCTCCCCAGTCTTGACTATACTGCTGAAGATTACTCATCTATTTTATCATAAAGAAATCCTCCATCATAACTGTACAAGTGAAACCACCTCTGTTCACTAAAGAAATAATATACTACTGCTTAACTATACTGCTACTAACATAAAAGTAGATTTTCAATTCCTTAAATTGCTTATGATAAAGGTAAAATACTTTCTCAGTAGGAGAACTAGGAAAAAAATCTGCTTATTTAAATACGTTTGACAACATTTAATTAAGTCCTATTTGATAAGGATGCAAACTATTTAATTTTTAAATTGGTGACATTTTCTTCCCACATAGTAAAACAAAGACTTGATTTACACCCACTTTAAAGCTCTTTCTGAAACTGTGAAGCATATACAAGTGTGTGAATGTGTATATATGAAGAGAAAGCAGAGTTTCATCTCACTGTATGGCAGCCCCTTTTGGTTAGCAACTCCATGTACACGAAAAAAGACCATTCAAGCGTTCTAAAACCAAACTCAGGTGACCCAGTTACAAATTTAAAAGGTACTTTTTATCGTATAGTACTGCTCAGTCAACTTTAGGCTTTGTTTTACTCTATGTGCACAATGGTATAATGGAAAATAATGTTTTACTTGCCTCCAGAATTAAGTTAACGCTGCCTTTCTATTACTCTGCTGAGCGTAGTCAAGAAACTACCGGAGTTTAAAGAGCAGCACACTAAGGCTCTGTGTGGTTTAAAGAAGTCAGGTAACTTTCTCTCTAATTAAATACCTCTGATAATTTCTAATTAAAAAAATGACAAAACTTACAATGGCTCTCTTAGGATATTCAATATTGAGATACACTGTCTTTTCACACCTACACTAAGATTAAGAAAAATCATTCTGCTTTTCAGAGAAAGAAAAATCTATAAATGCAAAATTATTTACTAATAATAGCTGAAATATCTCTATATTGGTATGAGAAACAGTATAATAGCAGAATTTCTGTATTCAGTCCTAAGTTGCAATGGTCTGTGAACAGTTTTCTTTGGGCAGAATGAAGATGTGTTACCCTTCACATTCACAAAATATTAGTTTACGCTTTAGCTTTGAAACTTACACAGTGCCAAGAAGGCGTGCTTTGAGGCCATGAGAACGAGTACCCTTCGCAGGATGTCTTTGTTAATGATGTAGTTCTTTATGTGGTAAGTATGATGTTCTACGCAGAAAGTTAGTAATTCCAGTATTAATGCCAAGAGCTGGGCTGTCTGAAAATCATCTGTAATAAAACCAAACCCAAAGCAATTAAACATATCTAGGATGCTGCCTTGGGAAGCTAAGGTCAAAGATCCAGCTGCAGTCTGGTAAACGTTTCCAAGTTCTTGTACATTCCCACAGATAGTTTAGGGAACATCCTGCAGGGTATGTTTAGTCTCTAAAATAGAACTTGGACAAGCTGGTTATGCAGTGAGTATTTTCTATTTATAAAGACATGGCAGGAAACACTCAAACTATAGAAACATTTTGGCTGTCTTAAATCGGTGTTTCAAAGGGTCAGAGAGTACAGAACTTGATACTAACACAAGCTAGAAGGCTTATTTAACCAAGTTTCATTATGACATCCATATGTCTATATCAAAGTATTGCCCTATATGCAATGCCTTGACTAAACTGGTATCAAAAAGGTGATTTATTATGCCCTTTAACAAAAGTACTATGGAAGAAGTCTCAGGCTCTTTTAATACTTCTAGGACACAATCACATCAGCATATAAAAAGATAAATCCTGCTTTTAAGCAAACATATAAGAAGTTAAATACATTTTAGATTTAATCTTTTTAAAAAAGGTAGTTCTACCTTTTAAAAAAATATTCCCAGTTTATTGACCATTAACACACAAACATTTACGTAGAAATCTCATTTTGAATCTATCTGGAAGCCAGCTGAGATAAAATAGATAAATTTCACTAAGACCTTGGAAATCTATACAATAAATTAAAAAGTTTAGAGTACATTTTTGCACCATCTATATACCTCCTTTTACATCCATTCTGGATGTGTTACTCTATTAACGAACAAGCAGTACTGCTGCTAGTAGCCAGCAAGAATAATTACTTCATCACTGATCTCTGCCTTTCTTGTCTGATGTAGAACCAATACTCTCAAATTCAGCACAGTATTGTGATTCACATCTTCTCAGGGGCAACTCTGCATCCTCTCTAGTAATCCCTGACCTTAGAAAACATTTACATGTGTTTACAAGTCTGTGCCACTGAACAGTCTCCAAGTTACCAAAAGTTACACAAATACTTTAATTTTTGCTGAAGCAAAATCTGCAGCAAGAGCTGTTCTCTTTTAAAATCAGATGTCCCTGCTGAATTTTATACTTGTAACTTATTCAAATTACTAAATCATTAATCAACATTTTATTTTGAACTATGTAGGATAGTCTCCAATTCTCTTTAAGACAAAAAATATCCTTTCACAATTACTGGTTTAAACATGGTCATTCAACAACCTTGATGTGCACAAAATTCAGGGGCTTTACCTTTGCTGGGCTTGTCCTCTGTAGTATTGGCCAATAGAGGGGCTGTCAGAACATGCATACAGTGTTTGTAGAAGAAACCCAAGAACTCAGTCTTTTCTGTTTTCTGAAGAATGAAAAAAAAAGTAGTAAAACCTATCACCAAATATTCTAAAAATCCAAAAGTAATTTCATTTTAAGATGTTTACTTACATTGGCAGTGGCAAGCATGTTTTCTGGATCGACTAAAGTACGAAGCAAACCCATGAGCAGCACTGCCCCTCCAAGTTCTGGATCTGTGTCACAAATCATGTGTTCTATAATGAGGTTAATGAGTAATATATCCTAATGGAAAAAAAAAAAGGCAAAAAGTAATTCTCATGCTGTTCCTTCATCCCAAATCTGAAATTATGTTCTAAAAGGGTTACCGCCTGGCTAAAAATTGTGCATTATCCAAGTTTTGTAAAATATAAACAACTACTAAACAAAAAAACCCAAACTTAATGGAAACCAATTCATTTTACATGCCATGCCAATGACACTCTGGTTAGTGGTTCAACAGTGAGAAGGCAAGTAGTGAAGAAAAATCTTTCAAAGCAACTAAAAGTGTATCCTGGTTTGGGGTAGAACAGAAGTAATTCTGCTCAGTTATTTTTACTGTTCAGCTAAAGCTCTTCTAACTGCACTTTCTGAAGTCAACAGCAGATTTTCACAGACAGTGTCTGCTCCTAGCAGTGATAAAGCTCCATGTTCAGCGTTACACCAGTGATTGCTGTGCAGACCAAGGTCACTGCTCGATCCTGTGCATCACATGGAGCAGGACAGGAAGAAAAATCTGCACCTGCAGGGAGGAGCGGACAAGAGAAGTGACCCTAAGGTGACCAGTGGGGTACTCCATCCCATATCTGTCATAGGCAGCTGAGGAATCATGAGAGTCAATCCCCTTTCCCTCTTTTGCTTCTTCTCCAATGGCCAGCATCCAAGGAGGACTTCATCCATCCTGCCTTTGATCCTGAGTCCTGTGTTCCTGAAATGAGTTCCAGAACCCAGCTCCCGCACCCAGTTGCCTCTGTGGCTGGGTCCAGCCTGGGACCCTCTCCCCAGGGGCTGCTCCCCAGCCGGGGGTGACAGTGACATATTGTCATCGGCAGGTGGAGCTGGGTTCTATACTGGCTCTGTATGTATTTGTACATATTCCATTTTAGTAGTAGTAGTAGTATTACTAGTACTTTCATTAAAACTGTTTTATTTTTTCTAACTGATAAGTTTCTCTCCCTTATCCCCTTTCTATTCCCCTTTGAGGGGGAGAGGTCTTAACAGAGAGTGTCTGTTACCGGTCTGGGGGAAGCTCTGACCCTAAACCATGACAAAATGGTTCTGAAATTAACAATCTAATTTAGAATTTAGTCTGAACTGAAAGACCAAAATATAAAAAGTACAAAGGCAGATCAGTCTCAAAGTTCAGCCAATTTTCAGAAGCATTTTCAGAAATATTTTATTAGTACCTCCTTTTGGAATACATACCAAGGGTTTTATTTACATAAATATACAACAGTAAATTTTAAAATGCTATTGAACTTGACAATGTTATTTTCACTTAATAATTACTCCAACATGTTTTTGTATAAGTAACGCATAAAAGGAGAAAATAATATTTACATTTAGGAATCTCTACACGAAAGTTGCTTGTTTAACACTGTGCCCCATGAAGGAGGACAATCACCAGATTTAAGTGGCTGGAACTACCAGTGACATTTCCTGTCCTAGCTGCCCCTTTCTTCCAGTACAGAAGTAGCAGCACCAGCGGCTTCCTGTTCTCTGGCATGCTTTCAGCAGATAAAGGAAAAAACAATAACTGTCTCCTCTATGGAAAAGGCAGCATAATGGTTTTTATTCATTGAGTACCACTTTGAAATACTTACTAATAGTTGTGTGCTACAGAGGATCTCTGGGAAATATAAAACTTTGTCAGAACATGTTCTTAAATGCTTAGGACCACAATTCTCCTTTTATCATCTGTGACAGTAAACTGAATATAGGTTCCTTACAAGTAAATTAAAAACACATGTACATGCTAAGGTCAAGACTGAAATTTATACTTTGCATTTTAAGGGGGCCATCATTCAAAACCATTTTGGTTTGCTTGTATGCCAGCTGATGTTAACCAAAATGGTGGTTTACAGTAACCTGTTTTACTTACAGGCAACAGAGTAAGAATATGTAAACAGGCAAGCACCTGTATCAGCTGGCTAACAAATTCTGAAAACATGGTAGTCCAGTGGCCTGTAACCATTATAATGTTATTCCATACTTCTTGGAAACTAGGGTTCATGTCATTAATAGAGTTGTATATGTAAAACAGTAATTTCAAAAAAACAGTACACATATTTCTGGGGACCCTCTACTTACATCATCGTTCTGCTGCGCTTCCTGCATGACAAACTCTCGTACCATGGATGGGTTGTATTCAACCAAATATGAGAATATATCAGTGGCTGCACTTCGTACTTGTGCATCATCCATACCCTGAAAAAGCCAAATCAATTATGTTTCCTAAAAGAAAAGGACTAAATGGAATGAAAACCAAAAAGCATATAGCATTTCATTCATGCTAACAAATCTCACCTAAATGTTACTAGAACTGTATTCTAAAATGGAATTTACTCTAATCTCTTCTATGTACACTTGACAACTGTTTGGGCAAAATAAATTTTATGCTTTCCCTGCCCTTTGGTCTATTTCCCTATTTTCTTTCTTAATGGTACACCAAGAAGTGTGTAAGGATAGGAAAGTGAATGAGAAAAACAAAAATGTAAGAACTCCAGGGCACTTACCAATGCCATATTGTAACTGCTTTTGAAATTTTACAAAAATATTTTAGATGTTCTAAAAAAAAAAAAACCTCTCTGGAGATAAACAAAATTATTATCACCAATAAAATTGAACTGACTTACCAATATGACTTCGAGTGCTGGAAGTATGCCCATATTTGATAAGGTTTTGAAAAATGCATCTCTGTTTTGTGGTTGCAGTGTTTGAGAGAATGCACAAAACTCTTTCAGAAAATTTACCTGAAAATCAGGAATAATATAATAGTTAATGCTCTTTATGTTAAGAAATTGATGGATTGTGAAGAGCCGTCCCTTAAAAAAAAAAAGCCACAAGGTCAAAAGCTTATGGGTAAAGATCAGAAACCAAGAAAACAAAGGGGACCTTGTGGTTGGTGTACACTACAGGCCACCTGATGAAAGGGAGCTTATTGATGAGGCCTTCTTACTCCAGCTACAAGAGACATCAGGCTCACAGGCTCTTGTCCTACTGGGGGATTTCAACTACCCCAAAATATGCTGGAAAAGCTGCATGGCGAGCTGTAGGCAATCCAGGAGATTCCTGGAGTGCCTTGATGACAACTTCCCAAGGGGATGCAACACTAGACCTGATGGTCACAACTGCTAGTGAGCTCATCAGGGACATCAAGACAGGAGGCAGCCTGGGCTGCAATGATCATGTGTTAGTGCAGTTCATGGTCCTGCAGGGTATGAGGAAGGCAAAAAGCAGAGTCAAAACCCTAAATTTTAAGAAAACAAACCTCCAGCTTTTCAAGGAGTTAATCAGTAAGACCCCCTGGGAAATAGTCCTTAGGTACAAAGGAGCAAAGCAGAACTGGCAAATCTTTAAAGATACTTACCATAGAGTGCAAGAACTTACAGTTCCCAGCTGTAGGAAATCAGGTAGGGAAGGAAGGAGACCAGCATGGCTTAGTCGAGACCTGCTGGCCAGACTAAAGGACAAGATGAGACTGCACAAGCAGTGGGAGCAGGGACAGGTATCCTGAGGAGAACACAGTTGTGCAGGGATGAGGTGAGGAAGGCCAAGGCGCAGTTGTAGCTGAACTTGGCGAGAGATAAAGGAAAACAGGAAGGGCTTCTACAGGTACATTAACCAGAAGAGGAAGGTTAGAGAAGGCATCCCCTCCCTGAGGAACAGCAATGGGGAATTAGTAACAGCAGATGAGGAGAAGGCCGAGGTCCTGAACAAGTTTTTTGTCTCAGTCTTCAATGGCAGCTTCTCTCCTCCCAGCTCTCAAGCAGATGGGCTGTGAGACAGGGACCAGGCAGACAAAGCCCCTCCCACAGTCAGTGAGGACAAGGTTCTTGAGTGTCTGAGGAACCTTAACATTCACAAGTCCATGGGGCCTGATGAGATGCACCCCAGAGTACTGAAGGAATCGGCTGACGCAGTTGCCAAGCCACTGTCAATAATATTTGAAAAGTCCTGGCAGTAAGGTGAGGGCCCCTGTGACTGGAA